TGTCAAACACAATAATCGCTTGCAAAGCAAGCAAAGTTTGTTCCATTTATTGGGACTGAGAAAGATATTTTTATTTCTATTGTGATACATAGCAAACCAGAAATACTGGATGAACTAAATTGAAATCTTTGCAAGAGATTTAGCTATACTTTTGGCAAGCTGTTTACTTTTCCATGAGAGAATCTGGGTTAGAACTCCCTGTAGAGCCCCAAAATGCCTGTAAATCAGTTGTACTGAATGTCACCTCAGAGATGGTGTTTACACCCTTGAGGAGTTTGTGTCATTGTTATAATGATAAACTTCTACTTTGCAGTAATAAACTTCCCTCTGTTTGATATATTATTCAAGGATTAACCAGCAGAGTTGATGTTGGTGCATATTTTTTCCTTGAAGCTCAGTGTTTTCAGAACTGTACTGTTGGAAATAAAGCATAAAATGAGATTAGTTCCAAGTCAAGCTGGTGCTGTTTGTGAGGTTAACTCTATTTCCAGAATTTCCTGTTGACTTCAGTGCTATCTCAGGAAGGTACTGCAGCAGTGTAGTGGCACCACTTCATAGGTGAAAGTTTTCCCTGTTGCACAGGGAAATGTACACAAGAATTAAGATGACTTTGTATTTTACTTGTGCTTTCTGGTCTCTGGTCTCCCCTGGAAGCCAGAATTGTCACCAGGGCAGTTCAGAAAGACCTGCCCAAACAGCTGCAACTCTGTACTCTCTTAAGTCCTGTGTATTTAGGTCCACTTCCATACACCGATTTTTATCTTCTGTTGTACACCTCAAGATGTATTCGTCTCATTAAATCTCTGGTTGCTTTTGCAGTCCTGGTGCTAAGTCACAGAGGTACAATCAACACATTGGCCAACATACTGTACTAAAATGCAATGAGCCTTGTACCAATCCAGTTTGACAGCTAACAGAGTCCCAGTGAGCTGATTTAAGGTAAACTCATGCTCCATTTCTATGCCAGGAGATATTTTTTCCCCAATTCCCCACAAGGTTGTGGGATGTAAAAGCCCATTTACCTGGAGTTGAGAGGATAAAGTCTCACTGAGTTAGTAATTGTCACAATTCCAAATTACAGCTGGAGATTCCTATCTGCAAAATTAGTTCTTCTCATTGTATGACTGTAGGCAAATTAGGCTGCATTTCAGCCAGATTTTAACAGGTCTTAGAACCTAATGGCCTTTTCACCAGGTCATATACCAAAATCCAGTTTGAGCCTGCTGTCTTCCTTAGTAATACTTTAGTTAGGAAGAAAAATAACGTATAGTGGGAACTCTAGTAAGAAACCTATAACAGTTTCAACACCCTTATTTTTTCTACTAGAAAGTTCCAAAAGTTTGAAAAACAGATTAAAAAAAAACAAAACAAAAAACAACTTTGCAGCATTGCACAGTGCTTGTCATCCTTCCAAAACCTTGCAGCCTCAGAGTCCCCTCTGCTCTCAGGTTCATCACCAGAGGGACACTGCTCACCTCATAAGACTTTAGCCTGCTTTTGTCAGGGGCAATTCTGAAAAGTCAAAAGCTGTGGGCTGATTCATCAGCACAGGGGTATTGAGTCAGTCCTATCACCTTTCATTCTTGGTCTTCATTTCAAAATAATCACGGTCCATCCTGATCAAAATTATTTCTGTCCTAGATAAATAGCCAAGTTGAATCTGTGTGTGAGAAACTTTACTGTTACCCATCCCCTTAGATGGATTTATTTATTGATTGATTCATTTATGTAAACTAAAGTCTAGCAAAGCACATAATTCTAGACTCATCCTATTAATCTGAGTTTCATATGAAGCATTTTCATTACCTGCACTTCTACAAAGTGCACAGAGGGGACTGTAGACAAGAATTATCTGGGAGATAATTATCTAGGGAGATTTTGTACAGTGAATTCCAGATTTGCCTTTGCTGAATGGTCATGAACAATGGCCATGTTGAAGGTTTTTCTCTCTATGGATTAGGAGGTCACACATCACTTACAGGTTTCCCTACAACTATTTTCTGATATTTAATGTGAGCTCATGTTTCAGCCTTTCTTCCAGTCATGTCAGGAAATAATTTTTGTGATCCTTTTTCAGCTGTTATTTTGCATAAATGTATAGCCCTTAAATGTCTTGAATTCTTTTTCTTTGGAAAAATTTCTGGAAATCATGCAACAGATTTTAAAGGCATTGTCATCAGGGCACAGTGGCAGATAATCAGATGGTGTAATCTTACAAATTTATAGAAAATATAATTTCTTTTCTCTTCAATGATCTCTTTTTTATTTGGGAGGAATTTAGCTCCTCTGAATGAACAATGTAATGATCATTAATATTCTGTGTATGAATGGTTTTTCATTTATTCTTTTTATCTTGATCACCTGATTACACTTCTCTCAGGTTTGGACCTCAACTCTGTGTCGTAATTATTCTTCTGCAGTAATATATTGGTAAAATAAAAAAAATAAAAAAAAAAAAACCCAACAAACCAAAACAGAACTAAACAGAACTGGAAATAATATTTTGACTTTACACACTTTCAGATGCTTAACTTGATAAGAGATCTTCCTCATGGTTTTATTTTGTTATACTGAAGCACAGTAATACTCAACAGGTTTAAAATGTTTTCATGGTTATATAATACAAAATAAGACTTCAAATGTGAATTTTATATTCCAATAAATTTGGTGCCTGTTGATTTTAAAGCATATTAGATCATCCATGAATAGAAGGCCTTTAGAGCATCAGGCTGTTTAGGAACAAATGGTGGACAGTTTTGGAGAACTTCTCTTTTTGGCATATTTTTAGGATAATTCAACTATTGAAGATAATTTACAGCTCTGCTGGTTCTATACCAAAGACCTTATGTGATGGAATTTATATCACTTTTCCTTTTAGACATTTAAACCACATGTCATTCTAAAAAAACGAGGACAGAGGTCCAACAAAGAAGTGATTTATTTTCAGTTAAAATACTAGCTACATTAAAACCACATGTTATTAAGTACTGTATAACCAAACCATGCTCAGAAGAATGCTTACAACACCAAAGCTTGCTTAAAATGTTTCTTTATTTTTTTTTCCTGCAAAAAAAAAATTCTTGGCAGTGCACACATTAGCAGATTTTACCTGAGCTGCACAGTACATTGACTATACTCCCTTGGAGTAAAAATACTATTAAAGAGCCACAGTACAAATTAATTCAGTTCCTTATTGTTTTTCTTTCTCACATTTCTGGATGCTTGAACTTCTCTGTCCCTTTCAGTTATCATTTCATCTCTGTAAGTATCCCTCCAGAAACAGCATAATAATATTAATGATGCTAAGACTGAAACATAGTTTTTCAAAGTGAAACTATTTGTATTTGGGACATATTAGCAACATGAACTCTCATAGTGCTCCTTTGAGAAGACTAAAGTAGCACACAGAACTAGTGCACATGAATCCAAGATCAGGAGGGAAATTGGAAGATTAGAATTAAGGGGCCCCAATTTTGTTTTCAGAATGCAGATGCTGAGGACAAGTTTCTGTCCTCATTTATGCTACACTTCCACACCAGATTGTTTAGGACTTGGAGGGATTTTTTAATGCTAATCTTGCCAGGTGAGTTATCCAAAACTCAGTGGAGGTGACAAGTAAAAAGAAACTTCTGCCATTCCACTAAGTTTCCAGGTTGGTTCTGTGAATGTGTGTCTGGATCATACTGGCACAGAGAGGGTGCCTGGGGGACTGGGAATTCAGCTGACTCACCTGTGTGCTCCTAGGAATGCAAACCTCTGTCAAGTGCTGTTGATTCACTGTTCAGATTCTGTTTAATTTGCACCTTGCATGGACTAGAAAGGCTGTTCCCATGCTTTTGAAAACTGCACAAGCATTAATGAATCACCAAAACATCACTGTCTCACAGGTAATCACTGGACAGTTTTAGCCTTAAAATGGGATTAACCACTTTCTGTCAGTCTTTAAGCCAAACAGGGATCAGGAGCAGCAAATTTCTCTCTCGTATGTTTGAAATCATTCTAATTCAGATGTTACAGTCACATCTTGAAGTCATTAATACTACCTTCAGCTTGCCTGGTATTCTCATTTTTTCTGAAATTGCTTAGCTCAAGCAGATTCTGAAGTTCTGATTCTGCATCAGCAACATGCTAAAATTTGTAGTGTAAAAGGTATGACAGCTTATGTTATTTGTCTTTTTCAAACTCTTGGCTGCATAACTGAAATAAAGTATATGTAGTAGACAATATAGTTTGTTAGACACCAGAAGTTCCATTAGAAGCCAGCTAATTAAAACTGGCTGGCTTGTTATTTGGTCTCTTGGATGGAGATCAATGCCAAGTAACGAAGGAGATGGTACAAGAGACCTCACAGTGGACAAAAAGGACCATGTGGTAGACTTGGTGTTCCATGCTTAAATCATAAACTGTGACATAAAATTTTAGCATAATGTGAATCATTCATGTCCAAAATTATTATTTAATCACCTTCCCAATAAGTTCCTGCACTGTACAGTATATATATATATATATTCTTTTTTTACCAGCCTGGTGGGGACATCTGTAGTCACAGCTGAAGTTGTTGCCTAGCTGCAGTAAGTAGGAAGTACAAGGCAGCTGTGCTCCTGCTACCTCCTTTGCCTTTCCTGAAGCACTAGAAAGATGTTGCTGCCACCATCTCTGGAAGAATAGCGTGGTGTTCAGTGTGGCAGCTATTGCTGTGTTAAATTGAGAGGAAAAGCCCTGTTTCGGCTTCTACTCCTTGGTGGCATTTGGAACAGAAAGTTTGTCTGTCCAGGCATCTCTCCATTTCATTTACCATTTATGGATTATTGTCCATAAATTATTGCCCTGAATTGGTTTTCTTCCCTAAAAATAATGCAAGTTGATTGTACATTTTCTCTTATTAAAATTCTGATTCTCTTTGCATGAGTCTTGGGGTTGTCTTTTTCATAAAATAGATGATCACCTACCTTTTTTTCATATTGCATTGTCTAACTGACTTACCTTTTCCCTTTCTCTAGATGTTTCCAGATGTGTGGCTGAGAGGAAGTATACCCAAGAACAAGCTCGCAAAGAATTTCAACAAGTGTTTATCCCAGAATGCAATGATGACGGCACATATAGTCAGGTTTAAAATTTTTCATTCAGTGTCTTGCATGACTGGAAGGTCAGACCATGTGTGTTTGAAAAGGCTGAGGAAGAGACAAATGTAATGAAGGGAAATGTAATTTCAAAATTAAATGTAATTTATACCAACATGTCAAAAAAAAAAAAGGAAAGAAAATCTGTGTTAGGTGTTGAGTCCTTGTTCTCTTTTTCACAGTTGTCCAGCAAAAGAGCCAAACGTTACCACTGTTTGTTTAATACACACCCTGTTCTTCTAGGGAGGCAGCTGAGTCATTATTGTAGCCCCCTGAATACTCATCAGATGGTAAAATGCTTGTAATTTGTGATCTGTTCCTGATTTGAAGCAGAAACCTTGCAACTGGAGTCCATATCTTAAGTGCTAAATCATGAATCATACAGAATCCTTCTTTATTCTCTGCTGAATTTCTTCACAAGCATGTGGTCTGAGGCTAATTTACTTAGATCATGGAATTCAGAAGGAACACAGTTAGAAACTTATCCTGAGGTATATATTCTAATCATGATCCCCTTCTGTTCCCTTTGTACTGCATTTTGGTTTTGGAGTTGTGCTGAAGACAATCTTTCTCTTTTTAAGCATGATGAGGCAAGTGATATTGGCCTTAGAAAATATAATGCAATTGGTTTTTAAGCATAATTCCAAGAGTTTCCTTTCTGACAGCTTGGGATATGAATAATGCTGGCAGAAGCACTCTGTCCTGCTCCTTCAGTGGGTGGAACAATATGTTCTCTATGTGGGAAAAAACTCAGGATTTCTTGTTTCAGGAACAATTTATGTGTCCCCTGAGAAGCTTCCTTGTGAAGTTTTTATAACACCTGCACCTCACTTGTCTAAGACAGGGTGTAAACAACCACATAGTTCAATAGTTTTCTCTTCCATTTGATTCTGATGGATCTACCACACTTAGCTTGAAACATGCTTTATGCTAAAAAATCATATATAGGACTGAGATGGGCCATTGTGGTTTATTGTTCTAGGTTTTGTCAATACAGTTTGCTGGATAAGTTTCTGTTCTCACGTGCCACGAATGCTGTGGTGTAACAGGCATCTGTCTGACAAGCTGCACATGGTTCTTGCTGTTTCTGACAGGTTCAGTGCCATAGCTACACTGGATACTGCTGGTGTGTCACTCCCAATGGCCGTCCTATCAGTGGTACTGCTGTGGCCCACAAAACTCCCCGCTGCCCAGGTAAATCTTGTTTATCTAGCTAGGTTATGGTGGTATTTCATGAACAGAAGTTTATCTGTGGCATCTGATTAGACTTAAGCAAAGCAAGTTTTCACTAGAAGAGTGGTTCATGCCAGAAACAGGTGGTGGTGGAAGCTGTGGATGCCCCATACTTGGGGTTTGGTAAAACTCAGCTGGATGAGGCCCTGAGAAAGTTGATGTAGCATTTCATGTAGCTGTGCATGAAGTCTGAGATCACTGCCACTCTGAGGTCGCTTAAGCTTTCCTGTGATTCTAGGATCCATCTACTTTATTTGTACATTAATCTAGCTATGGATGGTTTTCTGCAGTAGTCATTTATACCATATTTATGTGTCCATATATGAAACCAGGTGACTGAATTGATGATATAGTACTTTATGTTGTAAACTCTCTTGCACAATAAATCATTGCAAAAACTTTTCAGAGGGTTTTGCATTTTTCAATAATTCAATATTTAGAGTACAGGAAAAACATAGTGGGAGTGACCATTTGTAACATAGCCCAATGAAAGAACTCCCATAGCACATTCCACAAATTACCAAATCCAGAGGAGAAATTATAAAATAAAAGCATTAAAAGCAAAATGAAAAAACTGCCTGCAGAAATTAACTGGCAAATCAAACTTACTGCCTTGTATACTGCCTTTTGTCTTCCATCCGGACAATTAACAAGTTTTGTTTTTCAGGGGTTTGCTTCTGACCCCATTTCATTAACAATGATGATAAATATAAATCCTGAGTGTATGAATGGTTTTCAGAATCACTGTTCACACACCTTGAGGTTGAGAGAATTGAACAGAAACATCTCTACAAATATTTGCACACTCTATCTATTAACTGTTTGTGCTGCAGCACCATTCTCTGCCAGAAAGTGAATCAGAGAATTTACCTGTCCTGATCCACTTCAGTCATTCAGGCACAACCCTGATGTTTTTAATGAATAGATGGAGGAAGGAGGAGACTATTGCAGAAGTTTCAGCAAAGTTTATAGAAAGTTATTTTTATTCTTAAGGTCTTTCTAGTTAAAATTACTTGCAGAATCTTTCCACATCTTGCCTGTAGGTAAACTTTATCCAGAAATAATACTCTTCAGAATATTTCTTTTAGTCCAGTTTGAAAAGACACTGTGAAACAAGACTCAATTGTGAAAAATAATATAAAATATTCAGAAACCTTAAAATTTAGTAGCTCAGAGATAAATAAACTGCTCCAGGGCACAGGTGAGTATTCAGTATCTGATTTTGGTCTATGGAAAGATTGTAGATAATTTTTCAGTTGTCATGAGACCCTGTGGGATTATCTCTGCACATTTTGTTCCCTGCTTGTAACGGTGTTCTCATGTATTACTGTTCATAACTTCTCCTTTGTCCCTCAGGAAAGAAATCCAGCCACAGCTGAGTTAGGAAGTAAGACTTGAAATGCTAGGAGATTTTTCAGTGGTATTGGCTAAGGACTCAGTTTTGAGAGACCTGGAGAAACCTTCTCATTCAACAAAGAAGGCAGCTACACATTTTCTCAGAAAGTTATGGGGTATAATAAAGCAAAACTTAGTTCATTTATTGCAAAATGAAATTCTGATGCACAACTGCATCTTTCTCCCATTTCCCATATATTCAAAATTGCCATCTGTTTAGGATAACAAAGTTGGATTTCTTTTTCCTCACAAGAGTGTTGATGTTTTCCAGATCACTATTGATTCCCTTTTGTACTTTTTTATTTAGTACGGCTATGCACAGGAATTTTAACCAAAACTTCAGTGGGTCAACTGAAGTTGTGTAGATATATTCCTAGTATTACCAAGATGCCAATACTGTTGTGCCTTGTTAGTCCAATACACTGTGCCTTGCTAGCCTTGATGCAGGAATTGACTTGCTATTTCTGACATGCAGGCAGATCTCCTGCAATGGTGGCATCCTGACACCAGCATGTTTCTTTATTCTCACTGCTTCTTTGTATTCTGCAGGCTGGATGCTATACGTATTCCAAAGACATTTATACAAATTTCTAAGCTTGCCTGTACCATACCTTTTTCTCCCAAGATCACTTTTACCACCTTTTTCCTTTAGAGGAAAATTTGTACAGACAATTAAGATGCTTTTCTAATGATTTTCTCACAGGTAATGTGCTACCATGGAATGCATGAACATTTTTTGCTTTAATGAAAATATTTGGTTAATTTTCAGTTCTAGGTTAGTTCTTCAGCAACTTCAGATAAGGTTCAAATACATTTCTAATCAACTGTGCTGATATGAAATTATGGGATAATTTCTTGCCTTTCATTTCCCGCCAGTGGAACTACCTTTGATGAATGCCTGGAAATAAGAAAGAAGAAAATGGCAGTGTGGAAGAACTTGAATTTCAATAGAGGAAATATGGAGTAGAATTTAGAATGGGCAGTTAGGATTTTGGTTTAACAATTCCAACCCCTATGCATGCTTCCCATTTACTGTGTGATACTGGATATGCAAAACAACCTCTACATTTCCCTAACAGTTAAGGTTGGTTAGCTGAATAACATGCTGCTTCCTAAAGTTATCTCAGGTCCAAAAAGTGTCCCATATGTACTTTTTATGTATTAACAACAGTTGCCTGAGCCATTTTTTTGCTCATTTACTTGTTCTTGTTGCTCTTATTTAAACTGCCTTTTGTGCAAGAGACATAAGATATGGAAGGATGAAGGTCATAAACATTAAAAAATGAAGGACTTTCAAACTGTTTTATGTAAATCTTTGCTTTAATTACTATATCTTTACCTGAAAGAGGCTCTTCTTCCTTCCTTTTCGGTTTTTCCCACATCAACATTTGGTACTGCTAAGACACACATGATAAATCTCAAAATGATGTTCCACTCCATGAAAATAGTCTTCACTATTGCAGGAGCAGTGGTGAGAGGGACAGTAAATCAAACACATTCCCATCATGGCATTAAAAAAAAAAGCTCCTTAAAAATTATTAATGTCTCCCAGTACTTTCACTAAAGAGAACCAGACATAAAAAAAGGACATTTTTACAACTCTCCATCTCTGTTATCAGCACTGCAGGGAACTACAGAAATTCCATAAGCAGGGAGTTCTAAGAAATGGGACAGAAGTTGAGAAGCAGGTGTCATATCATCATTGGAAGATACAGTCTTTGCCTGTTGTAGGGGCTTATTCCTTATTAAATATGCTGGGTTCCTGCCAGTGAGATTGCTGAGGTATGGAGACATATTTTATTCTTCTGTGAAGTAGTTTTGCTCCTTTTTGATTAAGATTGCATTATCATCTTTTATGGCCATAATACAAGTAAGTACCTTTAGAAATTCAGAACTCTTCTAGTAGAGTATTGCGATCAGATAATATGATGGCAAAAATATATTTGGGAAGGCAATGAACTCTTAAAGTGTTTTCATTAGCTGGAGAAAAAATATCTATACTTGAATCATCTAGATATTTAGTTGTCATTAGTAGTTCTTTGCCTATACATACACAGTCAGACACAACCATAGGTGAGATAGGAAGAGTAGGGGGAATTTACCTTTCCTGATACCTGCATTCAGTGATTATACATCAAATATTCTCTAACAGGAGATCAGAAATCATTATCTAAGCTAGATAATAGTAGGCTTTCACCTTTTTTTTTTTAATAGCCCAGTTCCATATGATCAGAATTATAGAAAATGAATATACTAAAATCAAAAACCACAAAACTCACATCACACTCCATGGAATATTTATTGTGCCTCAGAGGATGTTAGAGTAAAATTGGATGGAATTGTGGGGTTTTCAATAAACTAAAGCATGAATACATCTGCCTTTAAAAAAAAAAAAAAAAACAGAATCATAAATAGATAGATGGCTAAGCAAGTGCACAAGCTTGAATAGTGCTAAATTCTCCCTCTTAAAGTAATGCTGCTGAATCTAATATCCCTCGTCATCCTCCATCATTCCATAAGGATATTTATTTATGTGGTGATTTGGTTCCTTACAGTGTACTGAAAAGTTGGAAGCCAGTTGCATTGCCTAACTTTTAGATAAGTTATAATTTGGTTTTGTTTCCTGCCTAGCTGAAAATGTGGAGATTCATCTTGATATTGAAGACACAATTTCCTAAAAACTTGCAAATACAACTTCTTATCATCACTTCAGATAGAAGTGCTTCTACCTTAAATATATTCAGGAAACAGTAAAAAAAAAGATACAAACTCAGTAACTCCTTACCTCGAATTTGGAGACAACAAGAAAATTTTATGCTGCATAAATTGAAAATTTCAGTGGAACTATAAGAAGGGCACAGGTCTTCTTTTATAGGAAATTCTTTGAATATTGTTGTTGACTTCTTAAGACTATTAAAAAATTAATGTTAGCCCAGTAAATGTAATTTTCATATAATTAAAACGGTTTCTTTCTGAAATTAGATTCAGTATGATTATGCTAGTTTTTAGTACTAGTTAATGACATTCTCTTCCTCCATCCATTAATTTTTCATGAAAATTTAGGGTAAAAAAAATCAAATTCAATTCTCCCAGACTTCAGTCATTCTCACTGTTTCTCATGTAGATGAAGTAATGTGAATGCATCTGGCAAGATTTTTCTGCTTTTAGTTTAAGATGTGGGATATTATATAATTTTCACCAATGTGTTAAATTACTTATGTATAAACTGAGTTCAATTTATACTAATAGAGAGACAACACTGGTGCCAAGCTGGAGCAGTATCAGTAGCAGTTGATCACACACATTCTCCCTGCTGAGACATCATTTCTACTCACAAATGAAAAGTCTGTTTAAAATGCTTGTGTGACTGAGTCTAAAGTATCTGGGTTTTTAAGGAAATTATAATTATAAGCCTGTGAACCAAAATGAAATTCAGAAACTACAGAGTTAATAGTAGCTGGATGAGATTTGAGGAAAGATTGGATCACTGGTATTTAGTGCAATTAAAAAACCTGTAATTTTGTATGTAGTACTTCTGAACACTGGAACATTTTATTTGAGTTTGAGCTGAGCCTTTTATCAAATGCAAGCCAAGCACCAAAAACTCCGATCTTCTGGATTCAGCATAGATACAAAATCTGCCTCCTTTTCAGAGTGATCAACATGGATTAGTATTGGAGCCCATTTAGAACAAGCAGCCTTGGATATAATTCCTACAATGGTAGAGACTTTCCTTTTCTTGCCTCAATTAATATTGAGGCATCACTAATTTTATTCAATTTCTGGTGACTCAAACATTATATAATGAAAATACATTCAAATATACTATTGCTATAAAAGGAAACAAGTCTAAGAAAGAATAATTTAATTTGAATTTATAAAGCTGTAATTTGGATATATAAAGCTGTATTAAGAGCTGAATCCATCAGAAGGTTACTATCTTGGCTGTGATGCCATCTATTCTTTTATGAAGGCTTTAAAATCAGCAGGGCTGATTTTTAATGTTAGGCATCTCCCCTCTGGCAGACTCCTTGTCTAAACTTCCTGCTGAAGTAGCCATCAGTTCAGCATGGTAATCAAGACCTGTGATTTAGTGAGTTCTCTTATTTAAATTGTCCTTTTAGAACATAAGTATTGTGCTTCAAGGTTTCGGTTTTCTTCATTTTTTTTTTTTTTTAAACAGTCATTGTAGTTATTAAAATAACTTAATAAATTAAGAAAATTAAGGCAACTAAATTTAATTATTTCACACACACAAGCATCTGTCAAAGGTGTCAGGTGTTTTTTTGGTATTTTTTTCTTTTAATTTTAGCAGGTGTGTGTAAGAAGAGACTCTATTGTAAAAATGGAAAGACTTCATGTTTTTAAGATTTGATCAATCCATGTGGCTCTTCAGAGAGAAAAATACCACTTTTAAAGGTGGTTTTCAATGCAGCAGAGACAGATAAATTGTTAAAAAGTGTCTAATAATTAGAATCATGAAAATAGAAATAGCACATAAGCAAGAAATAAGGAAGGATTCCTATTTTCAACCCTAAGGACAAGTGCCCCCTTGAAAAACTACTAAAAAAAATAAATGGATTCTCCATTTCTTGATGGCTTGAAAACAAGGCTGGATTCTGTGTTGGGTTGGGGTCCTGGTAGGTAGGTAGAATAAGCTATTAAAACCCATTTATTGAAATTTTCTTGACTACCTTTTCACCTCTACTGTCTCTTCTCCCAAGGGCTGCAGCTCTGGGCATGAGCCGTGAGCCCAGCGCAGGCTCAGGCTCAGAATAAGACTCTGTGTTCCCCCAGCACACAAACTTTGCCACACCAGTATGGGGGTTCCACAAGGTTTTGTGTGAGGCCTTTAAAGCAGAAAAGGACAGTTTTTAATCTGAGCTAGTCCTGGCCTAGAGGCTAAAAAAGCCCCTCAGAGCATCTGAGGTGTGAGGCAAAACTGAGCAGAGGGAGAGAGCTGCCCTGTATGAGGGACAGCAAGAGAGTGGTTCTGGGGTGATGCTCCTTCCTGCAGAACCTGTCCTGGCTGGGGCAGTGGGAAAGGGTCATCCTGCAGCACATGAGCATGTTCTTGGACTTGTGTCTATGTAGTGTTTAATGCTGCCTCTTTCTCAGGTCTTGTGTTGGCCAAGACATGGAATGTGGCAGTGTATGGATTGTGCACAAATGCCGAGGTCAGGCAAAGCTAAAACCTTTGGTTTGCAAAGGAAGAATCTGCTGATATTTATTGCTGTAATATACAAAAATGAATCATTAAAGCAGAACTGTGTTTCTTAGATGGCATATTAGAAATGAAAATATTATTTTTCTGGTTAATTCCTTTTTCCAATTGTAGGTTCAGTGAGTGAGAAGCTGCCACAACGAGAAGGTGCAGGCAAAACAGGTAAATATTTTAGCTGGCCTTTAAATAGAAGCTAAAATAGCTGTGGGAGACACTACTGTGGTTTTCCATATATTTAAATTATCAATATAAATTTGTGATGTATTGGAGCTGCATGCGTAATATATATGCATGCATGTTATTCATTTTATATTTGCATTGCAGATATTTAGTAAACATATAAGTAGAAATATACATATATATATATATATATGTATGCATAAACACTATATTTTTCTAGTCTCAATCCTATAGAATTTGCAATTCAGTGCTGTTTGGAAAACAACTTTCCTTCCCAATTCTATTCTCTGAAATATTTTCCCATACTTTTTGCTTTTTTTGGAGGACAGACTATTCTGTCTGTTTGATAAAGACAGCATTCTGCAGTCCCAAAATCTTGGCAACTGGAGTTCTCACTTTATTTCCATAGCAATCAGTGCTTGAGTCATCTTGGACCCAGCACTTGGCTTTATATTGTGATTAATTCATCTGATGGCTTATATTTATGGCCAGAAGATTGGTGTTGTTTGATATAGGTCATGATGTTTATCTTTTTGGCAGAACAAAATCTGATGTGAATATGACATAGCTGGTAGACTAAAATGAATATTTATGCTCTAAACAAAATTAAAGTTTACACTCCCCAAACACTTGAAGGAATTTTAGATTCAGCTGAAAACAACATACTGAATATTTCCATTAGTTGCACTGCATAAATTAAAGAATTTACTAATTTTTGTTCTAATGTTAATGCCTGTCTGTTTGGTTCATGGTAAATATAACTGGATTTTTTTTACAGGCACTTTTGCAGCATTGCAATAAACCTAACTTTTAAATAAACTAGTGCTGTTAGGCTAAACGAATCACTATTTCTTTAAGGTTAATAATTACAAAGTACTGAAAATTTGGTCCTTCAGGTATTTCCAGACAAATTGCGGGTTCCACTATCCTTAGGTTGCCCATTTTCTTCAGGTCTGGACTTTCATTTTCAACTTTGAACTGAATGAACTATCCATATATAAAACTTTATTTTTGTTTGTGGCTGTAATAGCTGAACTACTGAACCCTGAATGAACAGTCATAGAACAAGGAAATGAACACAGTTTATCAAATCTCCCTTCTTACCACATATATTTGTGTCTTAAGTGACATGATTGCATTTTATTCATGCCTGGTTTTTGTTCTCCTGCACAAGCCTGCAGCATTAAAGGCTTCTGACATGGTTCCCAGGTGGTTCCTGCTTCTTCTCAAATTCTGCTGTCTTCCTCTCCTCACCCTTCTTCCAGATGGTCACTGCCTTATGCTTTAAGTAAAGTAGTGCTGTCAGAGACATCCCAAATTCTTTAGGGACTCTCACAGAGTAGGGACCAGGATCATGCATCTATCTGAGTTAAGGAGCTGTGCTTCAGCTTCACAGCCAGTGTAGTAAAACATATTTTGTAACTCAGCTTGCAAAGGCACAGGAGTAGTTTTTGCAACAACCATAACACTCTCTGTTCCTCTTTCCTCCTCATGTTCCTGTGGAATAACCAGGAGTGTCTGCCCATACTGTAGCCCAGCGCACTTAGGCTGGTTCACAGTGTTCTCAGTGCTCCACAGGATGTTCTTCAGACCTTCAAGGTGTGCATAGACTTACTTTGAGACAGTCTCCTCTTTCAAGATGTCTCATAGATATGGAACTGATGAGCCATATCCGTTGTACTTGTGCACCTTGCTTTCTCTGGGTATTCCTATACGGAAAGAAAACTTCCAGCTGCAGGTATTGGACATCAGGGACTTTGTTAGCATGTTTGTAAACTTAAACATTAAACGGAACAGAAATGAAACTTAAAATATATTCCCTTAAGTATGTTCTCCGGCTCCACAGTTCCTTCCCCTATCCAAGGAAAAAATTAATATTCTGAAAGCACAGGTGTCAGAGTTGGGATCACATCCCTTTTTTTCTGATTCTTTACTGACTACAGGTCTGTGTTGTTGGTAACTGAACTCTGACAGCAAACAGAATTTGAACAGCTTTATGTTTAAATATATGGACTGGTATGCATTCTTTATGCCAGCCAGAAAGAATTTTGCAATTGGTTTGTGAGATATCTAATTCATATCAGTTGCTAAACATATGTTTCATTATAACAGCAGCAACACCAAAACTGTTTTAAATGTTGCTTTGCATTTAAAAAGCAAAGTTCAAGAGCCTAATTTTGATTGGGCTGATTATCACTGAGTTTCAGCATTATGCTAAATTTCAGGTAATTGCATAAGATTAAATGTGTCACAAACTGAAATTGTCATTTCAAGTGTCATTTAAAAGCAGACCCAATTTCTGGCTTGGCTCTGGGTAATATCTGCCTACCATAAGTTACCTTCTGAAATACTGGGTTTCTTGAATCACATATTGATTGATGATCTAAATATGTGTCTTGATTTCCAGTACACTAGGATGCTTGATGGACTCTGAAATTAATCAATGGTCTTATTCCACCACCCAGAGGACACCACAGAAATGCCAGAAAACTAAGGAGTGACAGTCTTTCATAGCTTTGGGGCAAAGAATCCTGCCATTGCATGGACATGAAGAATGAGCACTCTTAAAAGAAATCTCCTTATGCCTTGGTTAGATAATTTTGCATTGAAAATAAGCTCCGATTGCTGCTGCTTTGGTTTTGTATAAAGATCACAATCCCATGGCTGGAAATTTGGTTTTACCTGCTATCAATATCCACTTGGTATCTGTATTTGCTGTGACCTAGACTGTGACCCTTAGAGACAAAGGTCAGAGTGACCCAAAACCTTTTGCACGATTTAAAGACAACACAGATTTAAAAATACCCCATACAGTGATGGTAATAGCAAAGAGAACAGGAGACTCTTGGAATTGCACTAGCAGGACGCAAAGGAAAGAGATAGTGTGTTAGCCTAAAAGCTGCTGCTCCCTTGTTGCCCAGGTAAAGCTACATGCCAGAAGCAGCTTCTCAGTCACCTTTGATTCCGTCTTCCATGCAAATGCCAAGAAAACAATCTGGAAACTGTTCTGGTCTGACATCCACTTGTGAAAATTCAAGAAATAGTAATAAAACCTTTACACAGAAGATGCTGTTTATTGCAGTACACCTTGGTCTTGGAGTTAGCTCCATGCCACAGGAAAATATGACTGGAAAATATGTACTAGCACAGCCTCCTGAATCATATTTACCCCACATCTGCAATAGTTTTAAATAACAAAAACATAATAAAGTAAAGATGGGTCTTTGGTACCACTCTGTTTAGCAAAAGCTTGTTTAAATAGTTTCTTTTATGTTTAATTTTTCTTTTCCAGCACTACGTCCGCAGTGTTTTACTGAACCTAAAATGACTCACATCTTCTTGTCATTTCTGTAATTTTCCCTCCCTCATTTCTTACAGTAATGGTTGGTAGTGGGTGGATGGAGAATGCTGACCAGAGGATAACAGTTGTGCAAGCAATATCCTGGTTATATAATCTGTGAATCTTGCAAATCAGCTTGATTCTTAAATAGATCCTGTTGTATTTTAAAAACCCTTTGATTTTAAGGTGTTTGCAGCCACTCATTCCCTCCAGACTGTTTTTTCTTTTACAGGTCTCACTTTTTCTATACATTTACCTAATTATTTCTTTAGAAATGCTGATTTTTCAGTTATAATCTATAGGTATCAGTGTGCAGTATTAGAAGTGAATAATTACACTCCAGAGGGCAACCTGATCATTTCAGGCATCATCAAACAACTTGCAATAAATTCACCATCCATAACCTCAAACCCCATCCATTTATAAGACATAGTCTCTATACGTAATAAATCTGTGCTGTGTACTGCCTACAAAAGAATGTTTAAATTATTGTTTACTGGCCGGGGCTATGTGCAAATCATTATTTTCAATCATGTATGTACACTTATTTAGCTTACTCTCATAATTGTAGTCTCCTTGCAAATCTTTTCCATTCTGAATTCAGATGATGCCTCAGCTCCCTCGCTGGAGACTCAGCCTCAAGGTGATGAAGAAGGTGAGCGAATTTAACAGTGTGGTATTAAACTGTGCAGTTATGGACTGTATTCCACAACATAAAATGCCATCCTAGGAGTACATACAACTGCTGGGGCAGTTGCAATAAATTGCAAACATCTGTTCTTTTTTTAGGAACAAAAAAGACAACAAACACAATAAAGTCTTACAGGCAGCGAATTTTGTATGATAGTCTGGAGATGAGACTTTGTGTGTGGACCAACATCAGCAATTTTATTTGCCATGACTGAGGGCAGACACAGGTTTTAAACTTGAGCCAAAGTGCAGATTAAAACTCTGTTCAAGTGAACAAGTCAAAGGGTAACTTCTGTCCTCAGCATAATAAATAATAATATCACAGTAAAGGTTGATGTTTTGTGAGGCTGATTTGCCTCTGGAGAAATTAATTGCCATTAAATAAACAATAATAGTCCTGTGTTATGGCTGCCTTATCACTCACCATTAATCTTGCAGAATTTGTGTCTGCAGCCATTATATATTTTGAGTCCAGAGTAGGACGCTTTTATTTTAATTAAACATAATTTTCATCTAAAAATATTTATTTCAATCTTCTGTACAAATAGGATAAGGAAAGGACTATCCATGCCTTTGCATTAATAATAGTCTTAACTGCCCTAATATAAGCCAGTGTGGCCTTTTTTTCAAGATCTATGTTTCTTTAAAACTAGCCACATACTATTCAGTTGCTAATAACTTTAAAAAATGTTAACATTCATAAAGTATTTTCTGTTGCCCTTTTTTTTCTTAGATATAGCTTCTCGTTATCCTACCTTATGGACTGAGCAAGTAAAGAGTAGGCAGAACAAAACCAATAAAAGCTCAGGTAAGAAACTTAGGTCATCCTTACTCTGCAAAGCTCATATGAACATATGCATGAACCATTTTAATAACCATCATTCCTCCACGCTCATGGGTAGTGCCTTAATGATTTGCATGGTGATGATTTACTAAGCTCATGCATCATATGTTCCTTTATAGACAAGTACCTTTGGCCAGGCTTTACTTGGCTAAAATTATATTAGTCCATTAAAGTCTCTGGCTCACACCTATTTGCATCTGTTAGTAGGTCAGACATTTATTTTTTACAGACTTTTCAATTATCTTCTTTGTTATCTGCTTATTTTTTTGGTGATATGTAGTGAGAAGGGACTTGTAAAATGACAGTGTGGGTTACATTTGTTTGATGGTAAATCTTAGGAGGCAAACCTGAAAAGAAGCAAACTCCCATCAGAAGCCAATTTTCAGTGAGCAGGAATTAGAAAGACAGTTACTTGCTTTTTGCTACATCAGTAACATACTATTTACACACTGGCCACTGATTTGGTGTGAATTAATTATGTTGCTTTTTAAATAAATAATTGTGGAATTCTGGCTTTACTTATTTTCATCACTGTTTAGAATTGAGCTTTTTAAACCTGGACTAGGAATGTCAGGTGCATGTCCTAAGACTGAAGTCTCTATGGTATTCAGATAAATTCAGTGCTTTGGTGGATGATGAATTTTGATGCCTTTCTCATTGCTCCTTTCAGTGGGATGAACTTTAGAGAATCTTCCTGGTTTCTATTTCTGTGGAAAAATGTATAGTTTGAATGGCAACCTTAATGATGTAGGCTATGATTCAGTAAATCACCCCAAACCACGCTTCAAATACAGTAGAAATGGAGGTTTCTCAGTTATGCTTTGTATTAAGTACTTTGCTTAAGTATTTTACTGAATTGAGGGCCAAAAGCATTTAGAGAAGACAATCATCCTAAGTAAGAAAGCAAGATGCTAAAAGGTTTAGAGATTCCTTTATACAAGCTAATTTTAACATCAGTGCAATAATTAATAATAATTTTTCTCTCCTTGATTTTCCAGTAGGCGCTTAAGGGAAGGACCTTAAACAATCTAGGCAAGAGTTTGAAGCAAATACTTTTCATGCTGAAGATTTAATTTTTCATTTCTTTAGTCAGTGTAGGCTAGAGCAGAACTCCTTTGGGATTTCTGTAGCACAAAATATGTCTGTAGAAATTTTGTTTAATTTTTACAGTGCTAGAGACTAAAGACTTCTTGAGTTTGCAGTGTAGCTGCCAAAGCTTCAACACACACACACACACACACAAAAAAAAAAAAACAAAAAAAAAAAAAAAGTACATACACAGAGATAAAATAAAAAAAGGAAAAGGTGGGTTCATTTCTGGGAACTGGTAACCTCCAGTCCATTACTTCTGGATGTTCTATGCGGCAAACCTTTCTGTAATTTGTAGCTATATCCGATGTGCTAGATTGACATAATCAATAATCAATCAAGGTGAATCCAGGTGCTAAAAACAGTGTCCTCACTGATTGTTGTTGGCAGGTTTTTAATGTCTTTAAAAAAAATAAAAAAAGGGATTTTTTCCCTTATTACCTCTTAGAATGTTGCCAAGGCTTTTGGGAACATCCACAGAGAATCAACTCCAGACTCTTATGTGTACAGAGCAGGAAAGACCTTGCTACTGAATCCAGTGATTGTAAACTTGTCATCTTCCCACTTCCAGGCTTCAATATAAAAGATAAATATAGTTGTCTTCTTCACTCAGTTAGCTTAGTAAACTCTGATTCAGACTTGGTCATGCAAACATAGAAAACTTATTGAAAAGTATTTGTTTGAGGAAAATGGGGAAAATTTTTCTCTGCATAGGAACTGTGTTTATAAAACAAAACATGGAGCCAAATTTATTCATAATGGGGTACATTTTCCTTTGTTTTTCTATAGTAATCCTAGTGCAGTCAAAGAAATTCTTGAGGTGTAAATAATACTATAATCTAGCCCTGCCTATAGAACATAACTATAAAAAAGAGAAAACTAAAAATTTCAAGCAAGATACTGAAATATCCTATTTAACAACTTACTATTGTTAGTCTGTATTCCTTTCTTCTTGCTAGTGTTTACTTGAATATATGTTCTAATATATCATGATCAACATGTCATCTACAAACATCTTGAGCTGAGAAATCAATCTCCTTAGGAGAAAGTTTTTGTGAGTTAAGGTTACAAATTAATACATTAAATTGGTTTTATCCCTCATGAAGTGATTCGCTTTTACTATTCTCCAAATGACCTGCCAGTTATAATTAGCCAGTAAAATCAGCATAAACTATTTTAGGTTTTGGAAGATAGGAAATAATGGCTCAGGAAATTCTCGTTTATATTAATTCTCCAGTGCATTCATTTGACTGAACGAGCCTAAATTAATTTAGCACAGAGTAATGGCATTTGCAAGGCTCAAAGATGCAAGGCATGAAATGAGTGGATTATATATCCATGTTCTATAATGCCTTCTAGTGTATGTTCTTTTTGTTGGCTCAGAGAAATAGGCCTTTGCCTTCACTTAAGGCATTTGTGGAATGGTATTTAACCTATTAGTTTTTGAAAACAGATTTTACTCCTGGCAAAAATGCCATCAACATTGGATTATGTTACAATAGCTCTGTTTAGAGTGGCTGATTTGAGTAAAAATATCTCTATAGCTCTTTTGGTACATTTAAGATCATTTCCAATACTTTTTCTTTCCATAGAGTATTCATCTCATTGCTAAAATAGGTTTTTCTGAGATATTTTATACATATGTCACAGTGCCTTTGTAAATGTTTTATGTCTACTCCCACTCTCCTCATTTATTTCTTCATTTCACAGAAAATATTGCGGATTTGCCATATCAGATTGACAGAAGTAATAATTTTACCAACAGCTATAGCAAATAAACAGAAAACACTGAACAAGGCACTACATGGATTCTGATTAAGACATCAAAATGCAGCAGCCTACTCTGTTGTGTTTCAGTGAACTCAGGGTCTAAATTCCTGCTAGGAATTTAAGCATGGCAGCTAGTTTAGATCTGTAGCTGATATTAAGGTGTCTGTGCCTTAGGTGAACTTAGTCCCAGACTGGTACCAGTTGGAAATCCAGGTACTGTGTGAGTGGAGAAGACTGTGCAGATACTTTCCCATCACCTAACAGGGAAAACCTAGTCCCCTGAGGACAGCTCAGGGTGGACTGTAAATCTCTTATGTTCTCCTTGCTACATCTGCCCTATCAGCAGTTTATATCCCCATGGGATTCTTGGAAATACAGTGTGATGTTTTTCAGAGGTTGTACACCATTTTTTGTGTGTGAGTATAGACAAAGAGAGTATTTTAAATCTTGCCACAATGCCCAATGAAACTTCATATTTATTTTGTTAGCTTGAATTTGAGAGCCATTATTTTCAAATGGTCTGTTGTGGGAGCACTTTCCTGAGAAATAAATAGGGTGAGTTTAACTGATAACATTTTTAATGTTCAAAATGGTTCTTAAAGTACTCAGTAATTTATCAGTAGAATCTGCACACCACAGAATAAACCATACTTAGTGTAAAATTTCATTACTTTTGCAAATACAGGAAAGAAAAAGTCATCCATAGCCTGTAATATACTTATATAGGTACTTAAAGACCTTAGAAATTCTGGTGATAATGTAATTCAAGATTAAAAAAATGTTTGAATATTGTTTCTAGTGGCTAAAATACAGTACAGTTTCACCTATTTATTATTTGGTTCTATTTTCTTATTATTATACTTTCATCTGTTTCTGTAAAGATGTAATAGTATCTTAGCTCTAATGATTTATATGTTCATTGGTCATACATTTGTTGATTGTGTATTTAATGAGCATTGTAAAGGGGTTATAAAACTGGTGTTTATTGTGTTGATGATCCAGTATGAGCAGTATGACCAAAATAGAAGAGAGGAAGAAATTGTTGCCTTTTTTTGTTGACCCAATAGTTCACATTTCAGCTGAGCCACACAAGCACCTGATGCAGTGCTTGTGCCAGCTCCATGATTTCTGCTATCTTTATTCTTATATGCTTTAAGCAGGTGCTAGTAGAAAAGCCATACATAATCCATCATAAAATAGGGCTGACCCAGGGAAAATCCTGATCTGCCATTAAGGCTTCTGCGGCAGGGTGAGGTTTATGTGATCATGACATTTTTCCTCCAGAATGAAGAATCCTAAATCAGAATTGTCTCCTCAAACTATGGTTCTCGTGATTTCAAGAGTGCCCAGATTTCAACCCCTTTATCTGGATATTCTGGAAATATAGAATCATCATAATTTTTTACTTCTCTTATGTGCATGTGAAAGGTATACATAGCTTTTAATTTAATTTTCTGGCACAATGGAGTAGTGTTTTATTGCTGCCTTTTTGCTACAGACTATAATTTTCAGGATTTAAAAAATCTGTTGCAAGATTTTATCAATTAGTCCCAGAGAGTTCAATCCAACAGGAGTTCCATTCTCAAAACACCATCTGGGAAAACACTGATGTGCACATACAGCAATGGACTGGCTGCAAATGCAAATGAAAACAGTTGGTATAATATCTGCTGAGAATACCTTCTTTATAGACTAAAATAATGAAATCTGAAGTGATAATTATGTGTCTGTATCTACACAAAATAGCTGCTTGCATTTATCTGTCTGTATAGTCTGAATCTGTTGGCAAAGTATGCCAGTGAGGCTGATTAATATGACAGAGTGACATTCTAAGAGGTGAATGTAGTTTTTATTGCTGTGTCATCTGACAACTTCAAACATTTGTACATTAGAGATTTTCTCACATGGAAACTATGTTGGTTGTCAATGAGGTTTCTGTCTCATTACCTTGCTTGTTTTGTTTCTCAGAGGCAATTGTTCCAGTGGTATACTGGAGCATTGACCATTTCCTGAAAGTCACCTCCTGAAAGGACCAAGACAAACCTTGTTCCATACTCTGATGCTCAGGTTCATTCCAAACTCAACCTGACCAATGTCTTACTGTT